TCTGTTTCCTCTTATGGATAGACTACCTTGGCATAGCATTGCTATTAGGTCATGTAACAGAACTGATGAACAACAAAAATACAGTCATTTTTGCGAGTTCAGGTCAGAACTGATTTATGTGTTTGTTATCTACAAGCTCCATGATCCCTCACCTTTCAATGGATGAATTTTATAAAAGACAAGAAGAAAAAAAAACAATGTAAATTGTTCGTTACTGTAGGAAGGCACTGCAGAGATTCTGTTAGCACTGTTTTTTGTATTTCTTGCACAGAAAAATTTGCAGTCATCTTTATTGTACACTGGAGGCTCTAAATGAAAGGTTTCATATTAGACTGTGGTTGAGTGCACTTCCAATCAAATGGGCTGTGCTCACCACAAAACAAGAGCTCTAGACTTGGCATACACTGCAAGCGTAGTGTGTCCCTCTTTCTTTTGTTTCAGATGGTTGTGCAGCATTGCATAGCAGCCAAATCTGGCTCTGTAGCCTGCAAATAGCAGGGAACCACTGTGTTGCCTTCCAGTTCGCCACTTCAAGACCTTGGCCGAGCATGTTGTGAATGGGCTGTGAGCTAAATCTGTGTTTTTTTAAATAAATGGTTGCATTTTGAAAGAGACAAAAAACAAAGGTTTAGTATGTGGGGCTTCTAAAGCATGTTAGAAATTCTGCTTTTTCTTTCAAAATTGCAATCCAGACCACCGTCATTTCAAGAAAATGAATGCAAAAGTGTTTTTGTATTTCATTTTCTGCATTTCTGTTCAATTACTGAAGGGTATTAGAAAGCCTGTTTCTAGTGGTGAAAAAGTAATAAAAGATTACTGCCAAGGTAGATAGATAGATCCCATGAGGGAAATTTCAGTGCAACAGTAGCTTAGCACAGTGTAAGGAAAGGATACAATAATACAACAATACAATACATACAATACTATCAGTACAGTCAATGAGAAGTGCACTAAGAAGAGTTGCTCACAGTCCATAATATACAAAGAACAAACCAGAACATTACACAAAAAGTTGTATTGCACATTATAAATATAAATATAATGCACAAGTCCCTGGCATATATTGCACAAAAAACAGCTAAAAACGGGAAACGCCCTTGTAATAAATGTAAAAGTCATTTATTGGAATTCTTCTATCATGACAAATATTTAGAAACGTTGAATCACTCATTTATTGCAAAGAAAAATAATCTTGGGTGTTGCATACATAACAATATAGGAACACAAAGTGAAAAGTTGTATAATCAGTATTAACACTCTGTATTCATCTACACATCATTAAACATTAGCCTGCAGTCTCTAAATTAAATAGTTATAAAAGACTCATTTTATAAATAGGAATCTTACATTTAGACCTTACAGAATGGACAACAAATATAAATTATAAGACACATATCTAAGGATGTTACTCTCATTCTTGCTGACGACCTCTAATATCTATATTACTTGTTGATCTGAGTAAGAAAGTAATGTCATATATGGGGAAAAGAAGCTGATGGCAGTGGCACATTTAAGCACCAGAGTGTCACTAATGTGAACACTTTTTCATCAGACCACTGTCACTTCAAAAAGGAACATGCATTTTGTTAAAAGCTTGTTACGCTGTTAGACTGCACAAGAAATAAAATAGTAATAGACTGAAAGTAAATAGGAAAGGAAGAAAACAGCATGGAGATAGATGTTTTCAAATCTGAATAATCTGAATAACGCAGTGAGCCTGACTTTATCTTGTCAGTCCTTTTGAAAAAATCACTTAAGATGACACAACTGTTAAACAGTCCCAGACTGCAGTGCTGTAAACTCATGAAGGGCTATGGGCAAATGTTACTGGACGTCCCAGATCAGTCCTTGGAGACTTATACTATTGACATATACTTGAAGACTAATACTATTGATTAGCAAGAGAAATCTAAGATAATAGCTCTCGTACTCAACGGCTATGTTGCATGAGGTCTGAGAGCCAGCTTGTATCTTGAAAGAAACACCAAAAACATTTTTGGCTTCTGCCTTAGTTAAATTCCTGTTAGCCCATAGCCACCCCAATCTGATGTATATACTGTATAACTGACTCAATTAGGTTTTTATAATGAGTTCCCACTGAAACCATTTGTGCAACTAGGGGTCCCCTGCCAAAACACAGAGTACCTGTGTCGTAGAGCACTTGTAATCTCCTGAAAACTGCAGCACCATTTCAAGCTGCTGAGATCCAAGTTTACCATGGTGGTTTGCACCTGCAGTCAGTGCTGTAATTAAATCTAATATGCACCTTAATTATGTTGGTACACACACGTCCAAAGAGCTGCTGCAACTGCAATTATCAAGCCAGCAATCAAGGTAAATGCACTGCCTGAAAAAGAGATGTTGCAAAGAAATGCAGGGTAAATAAAATAGTGATTGCATGTGTAGCAATCTCCATTTGAATGACAATGTGTCTGCATTTGCAAATGAATCAGGGGAGTACAGGACACCAGACAGCTGAAAACTTGATTGAGGGGTTACATTAAATTCAAATATTAACCGACAAAGGGTAATGTTTGTGTTGTTGATACAACGTTTGGAAGATGTTGCATAATTAGAGCTTTGAAGTAAAAAACATCTGCCACAGTCAATTTAAAGGATATTTGTTTACTCAAAGCAGTGTCATTTTTGTTATGGATGTTTTTTTTAAATGTATGATTATTTTATCGATGACCACTTACACATTGAGTTGAGGTAAATTTCAGTTTTTCATAATATTCACAGCATCCTAAAATTAAGGTTTTATCATTTGTAAAAGGTAAATTGAAATCCTTTGTCACACTATTTACAGTAGTAAGGATGCAGATCTTATTTTTTACTGTGATAATTAGCTCCCTCAGGCAAATATATAGCGCAGGGCTGAGCTTCTTGTCTGTTACACTTGTTTAACAGATATCAAAGCACATTATTTCTAAACTAAATGACAATTAGTCACAGGGTTTTAGACATTGTTTCTTTAGCATTTATCTGTTTAATTTGCCATCTTTTCAGTAGTGTTAACCCAGATTTGTGTAGTTACACACAGCTTGTGACTGCATAAATACACATGAGCTTTGTGTGAAAGAGAGCAAATCACTGCATCCCTTAAAAAGAAAAATTAGCACACACAGCCTAGATTTGAAGAATACAACTATTATCAGATTTGCCTTCCTTTTAGCCAGACTCTCCATGCATGTACAGTATCATCTGCCCAAAACTGTAGATGTATAAGGCCTTTAAATCCTTTGGATCTCATAGTCAATTCTGTACTTGCCTAGCAAAAGACAAAATCCCTTAGCTTAAAGTCTAGCTTTTGTTTTGTTGCATACTTTTTAATCGTTTATTTTCCCTGTCAAATCGTGCATGTCTGTGAGTAAACCTCAGGTGTGTTTTTGGATTTTGAAGAACGTGCACACTGGAGAGCACCATCATATTTCCAAGTACTGTACAGTAATTTGTTCCTTCACTGCTGCCTCAAGCATATTGTTCATAAGCCATTCATCATCTCAGATAGCATTCTAGTGTACAAGAAAAATAAAAATCCCATAAATGGTAGTTTGTCTCTCCTTCCAGTGCACCCTTTCTGATGAAAATAACAGCAGAACAAATATAAAAACAATAGTGCCAATGTACTTGAAAGTAAGATCTGTTGATGATGTCCTAAAATGCTTGTTTTAGACAGTTTTCTTCTTCCAGGCCTAAGTATACGCAGCAATGCCTAGTTTAGGGTTTGCAAGCACACCAGACAAATTGGTTAACATCACTGAAATTTTTTATTTGATAGTGAATGTCAGTGAGCAAACATTTGAAAGAGGTTGAGAGCCAGAGTATGGTCATTAGGCAAACTCAGCCTTGTCCTTTTCACCTTCATCATTGTGACCGCATAATATAACAGATGGAACAAAATTTCTTATGGAAAGAAAAAACACAAGAAACCATAAGAAATTGCAGAAAAAAACCTTAAAATGCATAAGAAATCAGACAGCAGTTCCATATCCTTATGACATATTTTGTAATTGTGAATAAATGCAGGCATGGAGGAGGATTGCAAAATGAACACTGCTGGTATTTCTGTCCCTGAGTGTGAGGATAAAAAAGCAAAAAGCTATTTGAAGTTTTCTCATTGGCTGTAAAACTGTACTAGGAACCACCAAACAATTGGGAAATGCATTGTGCGACAGAGCATGAGAAAGTAAAAAAGGCAATGAGCACAAGGTGAGTCCTCCCTAGATCATTGCCATTTGATCTGGAGCTGGGGAATTAATCTGGTTCACCACTTCAGATGTTCCACATCGTCTGCAAAAATAAATCTACTGTCGCGAACTCAAAAATGATTATTCTGGCACCATAAAAAGTAGTTTAAAATTCAATGTGTTGTTTTAATATATAGCTGAATGACCGCAGTGCTTGTTGTTGCCTCGGTCTTACTGGAGGTGAAGGAAGCCGATTGGACAGTTGTGATCAGTTGGATATAGTGGCTGTGGTTGGAGATTGAACGAATTTGAAAGTAAAAAAAAACTGATTTGATAATTTGACCAAATTAAGATAGACAAAGAACTGGCATGTGAATTCATGCAAATAAAAGGGTTAAGATAATAACGGAAGTCTAACTAAATGGAGGTGTTTCAGATATTGAGAAGGCTCAGTGCTTATGCAACAAATGAGGAAATCCTATGTGTTGCGATGAATGTCTAGCAGAGTTGGCAGCTGTTGCACAGCATGTTGAACAGCATCCATAAAACAACAAATAGAACTGATACAACTCTTTGAGGGGTTTTAGTTTGCTTTTAGGTTGTTGTTTATTATTGGAATGTTTTGTACTGCTTGTATTTTGTATTTACAGAGAATCGACATCAAGTCCTTTGATTTGCATTAATGATTTTCCTCCCAGTTTTTGCATGATTGAGAGTGAGATGGTTTTATTTCTTTAAAAAATATGTGTCAGCCACATCTGTTGCGATAAGCAACATTTGACTAAGACTGGTCTTTTTCATACTCCTCAGCCCCATCTATGGTTCCCATCATGCACCAGGTCAGCTCCACCATGAAGAGCATCACATTGTCCTGGCCACAACCTGAACAACCTAATGGCATCATCCTTGACTATGAGCTTCGTTATTATGAAAAGGTAAGAGGCTCTGTCTAAAATTAAGTATTTTTGCTGACTTTCCATTTATTGATGTACAGTATGCTTGTGGGTATGTCAATATACTATTCAATAAATTGCTTTAATAACTTAAAAGTCTATTAAATAAGTTCTACAGACATTGATCCACAATCTACTCATATTAAAATACTTTCTGAACAGTCTAATTTTTGAGACTACAGAAACATTACTTAAGAATAACAAATATCCACAAGTGATCAATAAAGTAATAAAAATGTGTCACAACAGCGTTTTTCTAGCTTATGTCATGTATTTGATCATTTCTCCATGTAGATTACATTAGTAAAGATCAGGGGTGAATGCTCAAATTTGAGTGATGTAATAAATGGGTACCACAGGGAACTTTACCAGGACCACTGCTTTTCCTGATTACATACTGTAAATGATTTAGATTCACATAGTTAATAAACTCATCAAGTTCTTGTGATGATTAAGATGATACAATAATGCAAGGAACAGCCAAAACTGTAAAAGGCCACGTAGAAAAAAACATGTTCTGACTCCCGTGAAATGCGTAGTTAGAATCCTATGCGAGACGGTATAATCCGGAAGTGACTGGAGTGGGACATCAGGGAAGACACAGCAGGATCAGGGCAGGTAGAAACACAGGGGGTGATGACAGCGGAGCGCAGGCGAAAGAGTCCAAAAGGAAGTCCAATGGGGGAAATTGGGGCGTAGTCCAAGGTCCAGGTGCCAGGAGATCCATCCAAGACGATCACAGGGAACAGGGAACTAGGAATACAGATAGTTAAAACTTTGACTGGACAAGGCGCTCTGAGCCCCAGACTCAGTAGGTCAGGACACCGGGATGAAGCAAGCGCCCTAGGGCCACTCCTGTGCCCGGTGGTAGGCTGGCTTCCGGGCTTCCGTCTTCCAAAGCTGGGCCCAGAACAACAAAGACACCGGGCTTAATAGGGAAAAGGGGATAAGTCACAGCTGGGACAGATCAAACTGGGAACACAACGAAAAAAGATAGGAGCGCCTTCTAGAGAAATGATGACTGTGACAGCATGTGAGTCTCTAGGACCGGAATTGAAAACTCTGAATGTGTGGAGACAATTAAAAAGGCAAACAGAATGTTAGTTTAATTAGAGATGGATCATTAGAATTTATCCAATCATCTGTCTATAAATCAAGCAATGTTATGTTAAAATTGTACAGTATACTAATAAGACCTCTTTAGCATGTGTTCATTTTTGTCACAGTGATATAAAAAGGATATTACTGCTCTGTCATCAGTCCAGAGAAGAATAACCAGGTTCTCTCCCAGGATCAACAGAGTTATCTTATCTTTGAACAGAGAAGGCTATGAGGGGAACTGCTTTAAGTGCAAAATACTCAAAGGGATTAACAAAGTCAATCCTATGGACATTTTTAGGTCAAACATCAATCTCAGGACACACAGCGAAGCAAAGCTGAAGAGGATTTAAAATGGAAAATAGGAGTCACTTATTTACACAAAGCACTGTGGGAGTTGGGAACAGGCTGCACAGATATGTTGTTGAAACCAGTGCCACTGAATATTTTCAAGAAACAGCTACTGTAGATGAGATCCTTAGCTCTATTAACTAATAAAAACCAAACAAGGCTGGATGGCCTCCCTTGTTTGCAAACAATGTTAACCTAGTATACTTCAGGTTAAAATTTCAAAGTGCTTTAAAAAAAATGAAATTATCAAGTGTGTGCTTTTAATTGTATAAGTTTTTCTGAGAAATTATATGGAATGAACACAGTACTCAGATCTTTTACAGATCTTTTACGTTTGTTGTGAGATTGAAGGTGCCCCTATACCCGTTTCCATATTCTATATATGAACATGTGAAACCTGTGCATTAATGCTGATCCTTCACTAGAGGGAGCTAGTCATGAGTCTACTTAACATTGTTGATATTTAATGTTGTTGATATTTAACAAGTTGATAATGTAATGCTAGTAAAATGTTTAAATTTCTTTTTAATGAAAAGCAGTCATCGAGTAAAACAAGTAAATCAATGGAACACACAAGCTGCGTGTCCCCACTTTGTTTTGTCAGGATAAATATCTTAATCTGGCCATCTGGAAAGCATCTAACCTATTACTGTGTTCACTCAAATTAGAAATGGAAATGTGACTAATGAGTTACTCTCCAAGTCCCAGCACAGCACAGGAAAAAAGGAGGCGATCTTTCTGCTAAACCAGACCAGTTCTCTCAGATTAGAGCCATTTTTTAAAAGCAGTTCACTGTGTCCAGACCATCTTGGTGAAAAAGAGTACAAAGAAACTAAATATTTAGGGTAGTCAGAGGTATGAGCATTGTAGGTACTGGCGATACATATGTAGGACCAACAAATCTTGAGCTTCTTAAAGATATTGAAACAAGTCTCGGGACTATGTTTTCTTCTGAACAGTTAAGGATTGGACAAGCTACCCCCTACTCATTAAATAAATTCATTAATTGCCTTTCACATTTGTTCAAATCATTTTCTCATTCAATGATAACTTCTTAATTATGTTTAACTAGCATTTATAATGTAAACATTAGTTAGGAGTATGTTGCTAGGTTACTGTTATGCTTGGATAAAATGCAATGAAAGGCCTCCTTCACTAAACGTCTGTGATCCAGATTTCTTTCCTGTGGGGACCTGGGCACAACTACTGGCCTGATCTTTCCAATTATACCTAATCATTCTGTCTGGAGTTCTGACGTGGTACACAGGGAGACCGCAGTGCCTAGTAACCTGCTGGGATTTTTTGTCTGTGGAAAATCTCAAGTGGACTTTGTGTTTATTGCAAAAGCTGAGGTGGCATAACAATGTAATCTTTGTTTTACGTAGCCCAACCATGACTTCAGGCATTGACTTGTCACAGAGAAACTGACCTGTTCGTTACAAACGTTTATGCCATAGGCAGACAGGGTATGGGAAATAACTTCATCTCTTTACACTGGTAAATTTGAATGAATAATTCAAAATATCAAAGGGCCATTGGCTGTTTAACTAAGTCCAACATTTCCAAGTCAACCGAGAGACCAAGACCAGAGACATGGAAATGAAGGGTAAAAAGACTGAGGAATGGGAATTTCCTTTTATGTTATCAGAGGTCATGAATTAAATACCAAATCACTTGTGTGAAGCTGCACGATTGTGTACAATCAGCTTTATACTTAAAATTCGAAACAGTGAAATAGCTGTGAATGTATCCTGAGTTACGGAATTAGAAAACCCATTGGTCTTCCAGTAGTTGAGATTCCTCTCCATTAAATAAAGAACACCAACTTTATTCATCCAAAACATTTTTTCTCCTCTCATCCCTTTTTTAGATCTTCCCAGTAATGAGGTGTAGAACTAGATCCTGGTGTTGATAGTGCATTCTGCAGATATAACACCTGTGTTAAGAAGGTGCTAGTTTCTCACTGTGGTGTTGCTAGCAGGGGACGTTTCTAAGAAATAAAACTGTACCTCTGGCTGCAGACACAAGCAGAATAAGCATTGATAGCCCCTTGAACAAAACCTGCTACATCTTGATTAATTAAATCGTAATACAGTGTGGCAGAAAAAAATCACTCTTTTTGTGGTTAGTGAAATGCCATTTTCTCAAATGTTGAATATTCTTTGTTAAATTATATTTTTCACGTCAGTGTTGTGCATATTTAAAAGGAAACAGATGTCCTTAATGTGGGTTTCTAATACTGTCTGTGTGTGTAAATGTCACCTAATTTGTTTCTGTTTTTTTCTGGGAATTGTCATATATTGTCTAGGGTGGCAGATAAATTGCTGTCCCATGGAATTAAACAGACTTACAGTTACTGTATATGAAAATTGTCATACATCTCATAAGTCAGGGGTAATGGATTCTCAAAATTAAGTTTACAAAGCAGATAGAATATTCTTCAAGATCATCCTGAAAGTCACACTGAAAATAGAATAAAATCTAAAATGGGTTCAAGATAGATGTAAGAGTTTAAAGAACAAGCATGTGCTCAAATTGTAATGGATTTATTTATTTACATTGTTTTATATTTAGAATGATGGCTTAAATGGGTGTAAGATTAATATTATAAATTTACATCCCCCTTTATACAAACCCTTCAATACAGTCAGATAATTTTCTCTACCTGACTCAGATGATGATGAACAGTACAATACCCTTCGGCAAAAGAAGATATGCTTAAACAGTTGGCCATACTTAACTATTACTTTAAAACTTAGTTTTTTCTAATGGACTTTAAAACTCCTAAGATATTCTGGCTATATACAGTACAAGAACTGAGCAGGTCCTGTTTTTATCAAGAAAATCAGCAAAGCTCATAAATAAATCAATCAGATTTACCTTATTGAGTCCCATCACCTCAAAGAACTTTCCAAAGTCAAGTGCCAAATAAAAGTGTCATATTTAAAAATACCTGTGAGGTGAAACCACACACATTCCAGCTAACCTCTAGCTGTGAGATGAATTCAGTTATTCCCAGGAGCACTTGACTGACCAGATCTGAAGAAAGAGAAGGAGAGATATTGCATTGTTTTTAGAACCCACATATCATTACCTGAAACATATACCTTGTGGTTTCTGGATAAATTCTAAAAGCGAAAATAATAGAATGGTGACTCAGCCGGGAACATTGAAGACCATGCCTTATAGCAGTCTGAATTTACAACTTGGTTCTTGTGCAAGGAAGACAGATGCTTACCGTGAAATGCAATGCTTTTAATGTGGTCATTTTCTTCTGATTTAAAAACAAAAAAATTAATTGGGATGATTGTTGGCTATGTAAAAGGAGGGAAAATGTAAGGATTGCTTGTATATCATCATAGTATAGGGATAATATCGGGATGGAAATTCTCCCCTTTACACTGGAAGTTACTGCATGGTCCTGTAACACATTGCATTATCTGTGGAAGCGAGGCAGACATTCAGTCTTAAAATTAGAATGGCATTCTCCTTCTGCATTAAAATTGATTGTCTTTCATTCTATAGCTGAAGGC